CACTGAACAAGGCAGTTGGTAACTGAAGCCTAGTTGTACTAGACGTGGTCAGTGTTCAACCTGTGATCCACTGAGACAGCCAGGTCTTTTTCACGTCGGTTGCTCATTGTGTTCCTTCCACCATTCCTGTTTCATGCTTTTGATTTTGTTCTGCAGAAGTGTAGGACTTTGCAGTGTCCCCATTCAGATCCTTTAGAATCTTGATACTGTCCACTAAGGTGTTTGCTGTCCCCACAATTTTTTGGGTAGGTTGCTCCTCTGTATCCATATCACTTAGCCTGTTTTGCTGTCTTCTTTACTAAAACCACAAGACACCCAACAACCTCACATTCCCAGCTAAAACTGATTATAATGGATTCTTGATAAACTCCTGCTGGTTTCTGACAGTAATACATTCTTCTCTGTTTAGCAACTTTCTATTAACTTGCTCAAAACTAAGAATATGCTGACAATCCATAGTTGTTTGGGTTCTTTTTTGCTCAACGCTTTGCTTCTCCAATAGCAATAGCATTTAGTCTTCTCTACTGCTTCGGAGTGCTTTACAGCCCTCTACAGAGTCAGCCTCTTGCCCCCAACAATCTGGGTCCTCCTTTTACCGACCTTGGAAGGATGGAAGGCGGAGTCCACCTATGGCCCCCCCAGGATCGTACTCCTAGCACCATGCAGAGTTGGCCTGCAACGCTGCATTCTAACCACTGCGCCATCACAGCTCCTCAGTCCTCTGACCGTCCCCTTGTCCTCATCCATGAAGTCACAGAAGGGGTCAGCGAGATGACACTCTGGTCTGGTCTTGAAGAATCTAAAGACATTCCTTGTAGCTGTGTGTCTTTTTCTTTCTTTCCCCCCCTCCCTTTTTTTTTTTTTTTGCTGCTACTCCTTTGCTCAGTTGCTCTTTCTGGCCCTTCTGAGGGGAGAAAAGCCAAAGCAGGAGCGGAAGCGGGGCTCTGCCTGCCTCTGTGAGAATCCTCCCCTCTTCTCCATGGCCTCTTGTCCAGGACGTTCTTGAAAGGGGTCCCTTGAGACCTCGTGTGCATGGACAGCCATGCTCCAATTCCACTATGCTCCCTGCCTCACTGGATCCCGGATGCCTTTCCCTGTTCCTTAGTAGTTAGGATCCAATCTAAAAAAGGTGATCCCTTTGTCTCTCTCTCTTCTCTGGGAAGAGGATCCTGCAGGTCTAGTCCAGGATCTGCCTGGCTTAACTGCCTCCGCAGATCCCCACCACATCCTCTGTTGTTTCTCCTTCCTCAACTGGGCCCACAACCTGGGTGCCAGTCCCAGGGCCCCCCAACTTCAGATCCGCTGCTGCTTTTCCCCTTCCGCCTCTTGCTTTGGAATGAGCTGTTCCTTCAGCCTTTGCATCCTGAGTCTCACTCCGCCGTTGTTTCAGTAGGGCGCCAGATCCCTTTTGCTTCCCACGTGATGACTTGGGCTCTGCCTGCCTCTTCTCCTTGTTCTGCTTGTTGGTATCCTTGGATTGTATAACTTGGCCAGTTCTTTTCCGTGTGCTCTGAGCCAGGGATACTGCAGCTGTGCGAGGGGAATGCCCACTGGGCAGGGGTGGGGGAGTGGCTTGCCAGAGGAGGAGGATGCCCCACAGCACAGAGCCCCCCCCCTCCCCCCCGGAGCCCCTGCTTCTTATCGAATAGTCACAGGGCACCACAGGCAAGTCTTGGCCCTCCGAGGCTGTCTCCCCTCTTCTTAGCCCTAAGAGAGGAAAGGGGAGGAAGAGGTCCCGCTTTCCCCCCTCCTTGGGAATCGATCCGGCCTTGGACAGTCCCTGGCCCTTGTGGAGCATCTGTGCCAACTCCTTCGGCCAACCCAAGAATGTGGTTGAGATGGATGGACTGGTGGGCGACAGAGGGCGACAGAGAGTAGGGGGCTTCTCTGGAAGGGGGCCCTTCCCGAACTTCCCTGCTAGGTGGTATTCAGAGGTGAATCCATTCCAGGAGGCTCAGCTGGGCCTGGGATGGGCCTCTCGCGGCCAGCTGCTGGTTCAGCCATGCTTTGCCACTTTCTGTCTCCTCAGCTTGGCGGGCTGCAGTTTGACAAAGAACTGAGGTCCCTGATAGCCTATCTGACCACTGTCACCACCTGGACCATCCGTGACAAGTTTGCCCGACTCTCCCAGATGGCGACCATCCTCAACCTGGAAAGGGTGGGCCCTCCAGCTTTGACTCCCCCTTGGCAGGGCAGCCGGGTGGGAGGTGGATGGGCCAAAGACCAAAGGAGGCCGGGCAGCGGCTCTGCAGCCATCCGGATGCTGTCCGGTCTTCTGCCAGACGGGCAGACCGTATTTTGCTCTCTTTCTAGGTAACAGAGATCCTGGATTACTGGGGGCCCAATTCGGGCCCTCTGACGTGGTGCCTGACGCCAGCAGAGGTCCGCCAAGTGCTGGCCCTCCGGATTGATTTTCGCCATGAAGACATCAAACGGCTGCGCCTGTAGCTGTCCAAGAGCAACTTCTTTTTCTGTCCCAGAGCAACTTCCTTATTTTATTTTTTTTGAAAATGCGTTGCTCCTTCCAGCCAGGACTGCTGCTGGAGCAGACAGAAGCTTTGCCACTCGCCGCCTTCTTGCTAGGGAAAATGGGATGCTGTTCTGTTGGAAAGTGGGAGGAGAATTGTCCTAGCCAGCAACCTCAGCTGGGTTTGGGCTTCTTACTTAGCTGCATTTGTGCAAGATGGTGGCCCAGTTGCCCAGCACAGTTCTGCAGAAACCCAACATCCCAGGTCAATTCATGGCAGCACCCCACCCCCCACCCCCAAGAGAAAAGGTTTCCCAGACCACGATGGAAGGGCCCCTTCCTCTTGGGGCTTGGCCCAGGGCTTTGCTCTTGACTGTGGGGGGGTCAGGAGTTTAGCTGGAGCTTTGGTCAGTCACCTCCTGGAACCTGTCATGGGTGCTGGGACCCCAGAGGCCAACATGGAGAAGGCTAAGTGAGCTGCAGACCCAAAGGAATTTAAAATAAACTTGCTAACACCATAATGCTGTTGTCACAGCTCCAGCAAACACACTCCAAGGAATCAAAACTCCAAGGCAGGCATCTACCTCAAAGTATAGATTTATTAGGCATGTTATATTGGCACATCTGGGGGAAACCTGACTCTAGAGGATTCAGAGTTTTCCCCACCCAAGTCAAACTCCAAAGTTCTTCCCCTCAGGTCACACGTCCATCACAGGGTCCAACCAGGTTGCAGCCACCATCTTGGCTGGCTTTGGTCCACGCCTCTCCAACACCTGGAAGAACATCCTTGGCTCCCACGGGAAAGAACACTGTTTTGGCTACACATCCCATTATCTCCATCTCCCCCTTTTAGTTCTCACAGCTCCAACTGGCCTGGCTGTGGCAGCCCTGAAGATGCTCCCAAAATAGCCAGCATAAAAATGGCTTCAGGGCCGACAGCTGTTTGACAAGTGGACAGTGTGCAGGTGCGGGTACAACTCTTAAACAGCTTAAATGGGCACCTTACGGAATTGGTTTCACAGTTTGGGCTTTCTGTTCAGGAGAAAAGAGGGAAGACAGGATATAGCCACCTTCCAATATTTGAGGGGCTTCCCATAAGGAAGAGGGGGGTCAATCTATTCTCCAGAACCCCTGAAGGCAGGACAAGAAGCAATGGATAGAAACTAATCCAGGAGAGAAGCAACTAAGGAGGAATTTCGTGACAGTGAGAACAATTCATCCGTGCAACTAGTTGCCTCCTGCAGTTGTGGAGGCTCCAATTGCTGGAGGCTTTTAAGAGGAAGCTGGGCAGCCACTTGACTGGAATGGTGCAGAGTCTCCAGCTTGAATGGGGTTGGACTAGAAGACCCCTGAGGTCCCTTGCAACTCTCTTAACTGTAATTGGCCATCGGCTTAGATGGCAGACAAGATTGGGCCAATTCCCAGCAACTGTTCCCTTCTGCCGATTCCCTCCAGGGAAGACAAGGGGGCAGCTTGAATGCCAAAGTAGCCACCTCTGCCTGCTGCTCCTGGCTCTCCTGCTTGGCTGGTGGTTGCAGCTGGCAGAAGCAAAGTGCCCTGTTAGGCAATCCAGTCTAACTGGCCTCTGGCTGACAGCATAGCTACTCTGGCTTAGCTATTGTAGGTGGAACATCATGAGGAGATAATGTAGATGGGTAAACCCATTGCTGAGACATCAGGACGGGAAACCAGGGCTTTAAACAGGGAGCACATTTTGGTGGAAGAATTTCCTGCAGACTGGAGCTGCTTGCTAGTGAGGATAGGGTGAACTGCTCTCTTCAAACAGAGGCTGGACGGCCGTTGGTCAGGGAGGCTGAATTGGGGGACTCATGTTGGGCAGAGCTTCGGCTAGAGGATCTCCAAATCCCTCCATGAATTGGAATCCTGTGGATCCCATAAGAGCAGAACCCAGGGTAGAGAGGGCCTCGGGGGTTGTTGGAACTGGTCCCTGTGCTCAGGGCAGGCCTCGGTTTCAAGACCTCCCATCAAGAGGGCACCAACTGCCTTGGTGGCCGATGGCTCTGCCAACCCCACTCGCCACTTGCAGTCCAAAGCTTGGAACAGGAAGCAGATTTTCTTACTCTGTTGGTTCCTGTCCTGCCCTTCCGTTGCCCCAGAGAGGCCTCCTTCCTCCTCTTTGTGATGACCCATCAAACCTCCCCCTGTGTCTTCTTCCACAGCTAAATGTTAGCCTGTTGTCTTAGGAGCCCCTTCTCTGAAGCAGCTGTGCCTGTATGGCATTTCTTTTGTTGCTGGGGGCTTTCTTGCATTTTACTTTTCTAAGTGAAAAACAAAACCAGGTCCCAGGCTCTCACTTGAAATTTTAATGTACTACAAGAGCAATTTTCTCTTGCCTGCAACATCTGTTCTGACCATTTGGCTGGGACAGGACCTGCTGCAGCTGTTTCAAGGGGTCCCAGTTTATGATGTGTCCTTCCTAATACGGTACAATTTCTGAGATTACAAGCAATGTATTGATACTTTGAATTTTAAAATCCACCAGATCCTGATTAGTTCTTAAGAAAGCAACCAGTGCAACCTTTATCTTGTAATTGCAAAGGAATAATTGTGGGTATTCACAACCAATGTGCTGCTTGCTTTGGGGACCCATTTGTGTGAAAAATAGATTTGCCAGGCCGAATGTTGCATGCTTCGTACAACAGATGCAGTCCTGCTGCTTTCAACTCTTTCCAAGAACTTCATCCCGCCGCTTGCTTGGTTGGGATCTGCAACACAGCTGTGGTTGTCCCCACAGCAGAGCTGGTGGCTGGTTCCTGCACCCCCTTTGTGGTGGAGGAGGAGCAGAGGGGGGAGCTGCTCTTTCACACCTCTAAAGTGTGCGGGTCCCCCAGAAGCTCCACCTTGAATCCCACTGGGTCCACTTCCACAGTGTGCAGGGTGAAATTTCCAAGGACCTGAAAGGGACACGGGGATAAATGGGCTTTGAGCTGGACATCTTCTGCAATTCATGCCCTCGTAGCCCTTTTGTCTTCCTATCCCTCCATGGGGAAGCCCTCGACCCCACGCCACCCAAGCAGCCCCCTCCTTTAGAAGGTTTCTGCGTTGACCTCCCCATAGCTCCCAAGCCTTCAGAGCATCCCTCTTCCAATGTGGGGATTGCTTCCACCTACCGCAGCTTCCGCCAGGATCTCCCGCAAGGCCACCCAGTTCCTGGGTTCTTTGGTTACCAGGCAGAGGAAGCCGCCCCCACCAGCTCCGGCCAGGCTCTGCCCATAGACGTGGGGCTGGAGCACCTCCATGATCTGCCGGACCACCAGAGGCTCACAGCCAGGGGCCATCTGCTTCTTCTGCAGCCAGTACCGATTCATACACTGGCCCAGCAGAGCCAGGTTGCCTGGAAGGAAAAGGTGCGGAGGGTGGCAGCACCCCCCAGCTGCTCTCTGGGGAATGGGCGTCCAAGGGCCCCCGCAACACTAAAGTCAGTCTGCGCATCTGGTCCCTGGGACACATCATGATCGTCCTGCTTGGCTTCCGAAGGGGAAGGGAGAGGAGGGACAGAGGGGGCCCATCATCCAACTCCTGGATGCCAACTGTTAAGGGCATGGGGCATCTCTGGGTGGTCCCCCAGCTCCCCTCCCTCCCACTTGGCTCAAGATGACTCCAGCTGGATGCTCACCCATGCCCTCTGGCAGCCCTTTTGCAACCAGGAAGATTTGAAGACCCTGGATGTGGGCAAGACCCCTCTTAGTCCAGCCTTGGGTTTCCCTCCGCAGTTTATTCCTACCCCATTGACTTAGGAACCCTCAAAGTCCTTCTGAAACCAAACCGTGTCCTAGGGTTTCTTCCGCAAGCACACTGACCTCCCCCCGCCAAAAATGTGGGGGTGTCCTCCAGCCATCCTCCGACTGGTCTGGGTTTTCCAGCTCCCTTCCTGGCACAGCTTCATCTCAAGTGTGGGTACCTTGTTTAAGGGCTTGGGCGCATTCTTCCGCATTGCTCACCAGGGCACTGGCGGTCTCTACCACGGTGGGCAGCCTGGCATACCAGTTCCTTAGAACATCCTGCAGAGAAACAAGGCAATGCCTTTCAGCACAAACCTCCCTTCTCAGGTGTGTCTTTGCATTGATATTGGGGGGGGCGGGCCTGAGAGGCGCACACCCACCTTGTGTCCACATTCTTGAGCTTTGGGGCAGCTGCAGGCAGCAGTCCTGCCACCACTCCCCCCCCCCACCCCGTGGGAGGTGCCCTGGAAGGGCGATGCAGGGGGGGGCTGGCAGCGGGAGGCAACCAGCTGGCTGTGGACCTTCCCATCAACTGAGCAGGCAGGTTCCGGAAGAGGCGCCTTTGCTTGGGTCTGCTCCCCAAAGGGGAACCGCGTTCAAATGCAGCTGAGCGGGGGGGGGGGGGGCCTTGGGGGGGGGGGGGGGGGGGGGGGGGGGGTTCAAGTGTCCAGGCCCCCCCCCTGTCAGTTTAGAATAGCTGGGGGGTGGCACTTGGAGCCCCTCTTGGTGGCTGTGGGCAAACAGCAGCACAGCAAATTATTGTTTCCAACATCAAGACTGCAGGAGAAAAAAGACTTGGGTAGCTGCAGATCACTCAAACTTGACCCTGTTTCTCGAAAATCCTGGGGCGAGAGATGAAATATGTGGTTATCCTTGTTTAGAGACGAATGCACAGCTTGACAGGAGCCGGGATACCCTTAGCCAGACCTAATCTTGTTTGCTAAAGTAACCAGGTTAGCTGACCAGGGGAATGCAGTAGAGACTCCATCTCTTTTCTTCAGTGAAGTGCTCAAAAGGGCCCCAGAGGCCCTAATCAAGGCGGCAAAAGAAGCAGGGCTGCGCTGGACAGGCCATCATTCAGGGACTGACCAGCCAATCCTGTCAATGGCTCCATTGAAAGAGGGGCCAGAGGGGTCAAGTAGCTTGCAAGACTCGACCTGAATGAGGAGAAAATAAAACAAATCCGACGGAGGTTTGCAGAGTGGTTTACACAAAGCCTCTCAGCCAGGAAGGTCAAAGGTTGGGCTTGGATGGGGGCAGGGAACCATAATGCAGGCGGGGGGAGAGAAAATATGTGAAAAGGGTCTCCATGTCTACCTGTAGGTAGGTTGCAAGATAAAGCTGATGGGATACAAGGGTCAGGGAAAGAGGCATCCACAGAAATCGGGGCAAGAGCAAGAAAAGAAACCACACACCAGTCAGAATATTTGGCCCTAGAATTTAAACACCCTCCGTCTTGGGGACTATGTAGAAAGGACCCTCACCGGAGCCTTTCAGAAGGGAATGAGATGATGAAGGGCCTGGAAGGAAAAGGAGCCACAGATGGAGATCCTTGGTGTGTTTAGCCCAGATTAGGGAGAGTTGATCAGAAGTATCAGAATGGCTGTCATTTAGAAGATGGGCAGATGCTTCAGGGTTTTCCAGAAAACAGGAGGAGAAAGAATTAACTTAAATTACAAGGTAGATTTAGTTGGATGTCCAACACTAAAAGCTTCCCAACAATGGAACAGGGTATGTTGTGGGTCCCGTCTCTTAGGGATGTGCATCTGGTGAGACCATGAAAAAAGGCCTTATTGGTGGTGGCCATTTCCTTCTTCCCCCGGAGGTACAGTTGGGGGCTCCCTTGCTGGCTTTGTCCGTGAGCCTGGGACCATGAATGGGGGCAGAGCGGATCCAAGTGTGTCGCTGCTGCCATAAGGGCACTGAGTTACAAGGTTTGTGTTGCGGGTTTTAAAGTAGTAAGCCACCCAGAGTCTCCTGTGGGCAAGTTGGGTAACCATATAAATTTGTTTAAATCAATAAATAATAAACAGACTAGGAAGGCCTCTCCAACAATCAACTGGTTTAGATTGAGGCTGGAGGAACATCCCTGCACCGGGCTTTTTTTTTTTTTTTTTGCACTACATCATCTCCAGAATTTCAAGCAAAGATCCACGGATTCTATGAACTCTTTAAAGAGACCAGGTCACGTCCACTGACAGTGAAGCACTGAAGGTAGGAGTGTCTTGGTGGGGATGCAAAACGTCTCATTCAGACACTCCGGTATTATTATTTTTAAATCCACACTCGGGCCACAGGATTATTAGAATATTCTGACCAAAAGTTCCAAACCCTGATAAAACCATGTCTGTTGTGAAAACCAAATCTTAGGTTTTCTTCCAAATTATCCTTCATGGCCTGCTGCAGAAATTTCCTGGGACAAATGCTTCTGTTTCCATGGCTGGCCTTGAGTGGGTCTATTAGATTCCACTTTCTATACTTATCTCTCACACACACACACACACACACTCTATGCATATGTGTGTGAGCATACATAAATTATACACCATACACACACAATGGTGTGTATATTTTCCTGCATGTGTACATCTCTGAATGGATATGTACAAAAGGTGAACGTAATAAGATGGAAAATGTTTTTAAATTCCACTGGGACAGAAATCTAATAAGTAATAGCAACAATTTTGAGTTTGCTGGACTTCTGCATGGGGAAAAATGGTGGAATGGCAACCTGGTGAAGATGGGCAGCCCGGTGTTAAGCTCAGGGCAACCGCACTTCCACACAAGGAGAGGCCGTTTGTGCTTTGGAAAACTGCTCCTTGACAGGAGACTCACAAGATGCAAAGGGATTGTAGAGCGTCCCTTGAATCTGGGTATAGCACAGGGGTGGGCAAACTTTTTGGCTCGGGGGCCGCATTGACTTTTAAAATTTGACAGACGGGCCGGGTCAGCACAAGATTTTTTGGGAATCCCCCCCTTCCCCCCCTCTTCTCCTCCGTCCCCTCGGAGGCTCCCCTCCCCTCGGAGGCCCTCTGAGTCAGGAGTTGCTACCGCCAGCGCGGCTCCGCGCGGCTCCAGTCCCGCGTTGCCTCAGGAAGGGAAAGGCAAAAAGGAAGAGCCGCGGCGGTGCTTTGCAACGGGAGCAGCGGCACCGGAGGCTCAGGCTCAGCGGCTCCTGGTTTTGCCTTTTCCTTCCCAAGGCAACGCGGGACTGGAGCCGCACGGAGCTGCGCCGGCGGTAGCAACTCCTGACAGCCCCAGCCGGACACCTGAGCGGAGCCCGGGAGAAACTGCCTCTTGCTGCTGCCGGATCACCGCCGGGTCGCCTCCTCCAAGCAGCCTGTCCGCCCACCGGGCTTCCCCTCTGCCGCGCGGCTCGGGGCCAGGCGCAAGCGCCCGCGAGTTAAAAGGAAGCCGAAAGTTGCTGGGAAGTTGCTCGGGTGCTGGGAGCAGGCTTTTAAAGTGCCGCCCGAGCAGGACCGCCGAGCCGGGAAACGGAGCACCAAGGCAGGGCAAAGCTCCACCAGCAGCGGCCTAGCTTTAGGTGGCTCCAAGCAGCCCGCCCCGCCCGCCGGGTGGAACCCTTCCCGCTCCTCGGCAGGAAGACGCTCTAGCCTGCAAGCTTTGCCTTTGCAAAGTTTAAGCCTGGAAGCCCCGGGAAAAAAAGGGGGATCGGCAGGGACTCACCTTCGGAGAGGTCGCATTCGAAGGTGATTTCGAACTCCCAGCCGAGGCCTTTGCAAATTTCTTTTCTTTCCTACCCCTAGATCGCTCCGCACTGTTTTGCAGCTTTGGGGGCCACGCGGCACAGGGCAATTACGCCACGCCCAGCGATTTTTTTTCAGGGGTGGGCCGGATTGGACAGACCAATGGCAGAGATTTTTTTTCAGGGGCGGGCCGCATTGGACAGACCAACGGGCCGGATGTGGCCCGCGGGCCGTAGTTTGCCCACCCCTG